TAACGTAATATTAGTGATATAAGACTAACTACATTAATGAACCTCAGCATATTGAAATATATATATATACATTATTGCATTTAACTAATAGATTTTTTCACTGACCATCTTTACATATTTGCGTGAATAAGATATATATATGACTATCCACATTGAACAGTCGCAAAAAAATCTGTAATATTATTTTTTGCTCGGCTTATTATTCAAATCATCGCTTTAATAAGCAATACTATTTACTATAGCATATATTTTTGGAATTGGTAATCAAGGGCAACGTACGTGTAAAAAAAACTAACGTATATATGTATCTATTCAACTTGCAAGTATAATTCTATAATTTTGATTATGTTATTAATTAATGAGATAACCTAACAGAAAAAAACTGAAAAGAGAAATACCAAACCAAACCAATTTTTTTTTGTTTGAATTGATTATACATTTTTAAAACAAAAAATCAAATAACACAACATAACATATAAAAAATCAAATCCACGCCTCTATGTAACACAACAAAGAGAACTTGTTTGTGCAGGTGGGGTCCATCATGACAATTGTCACACCCCATTTTCGAAGACAAAGATAATAACGTGACAATTATTTTTCAAGTTTAAAAAAAGAGAAAAGTCCCCACCTAAAGAAATAAAAGCGTGTTACGAAACTATTGTACACAAAACTAACAAATACGTTTAATTTTAAGGGTCTACAGGACCATAGGCCGGGTAAGAATTTAAGTTACCACGAAAGGAAGGTTTTAGGCACCTTTCAAGGTCCACAACAATTGGTCCCAATCAAAAATGCGAAAAAACAATACAAAACATGCTCTAACTTATTAACATGTTGATCTATTTTTATAAATCTATATTTTTGCTTCATATAAGAAGTTAATTATAGGTTGTCCTATTTCATGATAAACCAAACGTACGTAGCCTCCACTAGGTGATGATTCCACTCTAGTTTTTTTCCAGGTGTTGACTTCTCCAATCGTGATGGTTTAACTCCAAGAAAATTTATTCCATTTCGATGTGCAGGTAATAATATTCAAAAAGGTGAGAGAATGTTTGTTCTTAATACACAAGAAACAAAACAAAAATTAAATGATAATGTAATAAAAACTCTTAATAAAAATGAGAACATAATAAGAAAAAGAGTTTAAAATAATAAACATATCAAACTAACTACATAACAAGATCTTACTTTTTCTGACAATCAAATTGAGTGAACCTTAAAATTTATCAAAATTTATGATATACAACCTAATAACTTCATGTAAAACAATACTTAATAAACTTAATCTAGTAAACATTATAGTGACAAGATTTCACATGAACTTCAAATTTCAATACTGCTAATACTCCTCAAATTTAGTCTATAATCACACATAACATTAATAGTTAGTATTTGATGAGTCCAGAAATTGGACTCATTTAGGGCTTTATTTTAATGGAAATAGTGTCTTTGAATGCTTGTTTTATCTCAATAACGGATTAAAATGCTGAAGTTTCAGGTATTTAAAGTTTTAGTGGAAGCCTTGACACTTGGGCGCAAAACAGAGCAAATATGGCTGAAAAGTACAAGAAATGAAATCCTGCGGATCGCCAATTTTAACTTGGCGAGTCGTCGAAACGATATGAACCACCCTTCCTTCTAGTACGCGAAGCCCTGTAGGAAGTGGATCAAAAGGCGAGGAAAGCAGCAGTCGGTGAGTCGGTGAGTCGCTGATCAGTTCCGCAAAGCTACTATACCGCCTAATGATCCAGAATGCGAGGATGCTAAAGGCAAGACACTGAAGGTGATGAGCTGACGAATGGGCGGATCGCCGAGTTCATCGACAATCTTGAGTAATGTCGTCGAGCAATCCTCCGCAGCACAATTTGTGAAAATTATAAATACTATTTAGAATTGCAGTCTTAAGAGATTTTTGGAGTGTGGAACAATTATTATTATTATTTTCACTTTAGGACATATTCTAGCTGATATTTTTCTCTCAAGTTTGGAGAGGGTTTTGTGGAGACTAGAAGAAAGGAGTTCTTCTTCCCCAAGTTGGCAGTGGGTCTTCTCTATTCATTTTCCTTTGCTTAATTTAAAGTATAATTTCTAATGCAGTTGATTTCCTTATCATGTTAGATATAATTTCTTATTTCTTGATGTGTGGCTAAAAACCCCTTTTCTTGGGGTGTGATTTAGCAAATATGGGTTGATATTCTTGCTGATAGGTTAGATGTATTTCAATGGTGATTTTCACCTAGTGGTTGTGGTTTAATCTAAAGGGTTTGTAGTTGCAAATACAAAGCCACCCATGTGTTTTCGGCTTGCCCGAGAGGGAGGTCACGAAACCAAATCCACTAGACTAATGGCCTAAGGAGTGGGTCGACATTAGGTTCAGCCCGAGAGGTTGAGCCCTAGTCCCATGTACTAACACTCAGCTCAAGAGAGTGAGTTGGGTATGGCGTAGGCTGGTCTTCATGCGTCAAATGGGTGTCTGAGAGGAACATATTTGAAACGGGATAAGTTGCCCGAGAGGGAACTTATTTCCATCTAAAGCTTAGCGTAGTCACTATTCATTTACAAATTTCCTATCGAAAGCATGTACCCAACAATTTATCTCAACCTGTATTGCGCTCACATCCCAAGAACCTTTCCCCATACTTGATTTTCGTGTTTATTTTACTGCTTTATTAGTTGTTACGAAACCCTCATTTGATATTTGACACTATCATGTCACCCCCTTTTATTTACTATGTTTTTGTTCGTTAATATCTTTAGCTACGACTAGTTAGAATGTAAATTATATTTTTCTATCAATTCCCAAAAGCGTTCCCTTGGGACACGACCCCAACCCTCGATTGGGTTACTATATTATCGAAGATCGTAGACACTCATATTATAGGATAGTGTCGTTGGTCACGATAAACATCAAAATGGCGCCGCTGCCGGGGAGTGGTGTTATTTGAGAATTTTTAGTTCACTAGAATTTCTATCTTATTAATGGTAGATTAATAACTTTACTCTTAGCTTTGTTTTTCTTTGAGTTTTTGATTGTATTTAATCCCAAGGATCATTGGCAAGAATTTCTGTTTTTCTTAGTTTTAGCTTTACTAACTTAATATTTACCTTTGCTTTGCTTGTTTGTTTTGATAACCGAAATTATGTCTGAGGACGTGGGGGACAGTTGCCACGCAAACAACCTATTGAATATTGACTTGCACCGAGATGACATTGACGATGCAAATAGTGTTTATGACCCCACTCCATTGGGTGAGATAGGTGCAATTTGCTTGCCGCAGGGTGGTGGAAACGGAAATTTTGAAGTCACTAGCACAACACTCCACCTCATACATTCAAGGGGCCTATAAGAAGGATTGGAACATGAAGACTCACATGAACATATCCAAAGCTTTTTGGACATATGGGCTCCTTTGTCATTCAAAAATTGGTTGAAGAAGCCATCAGGCTTCGCTTATTCCCATTGTCACTAACAGGAGCTGCCACTACGTGGTTGTCTGAGCTTCCCAAAAGTTTTATCACATCATGGAAAGTTTAGTCACTGCTTTCCACAATTGATTCTTTCCCCCGTTAAAAATGATGAAGTCGAGGGACGACATTCAGAATTCAAACAAAAAGCGAGTGAACCAATTCATGAGTCGTGGATTAGATATAAGAGGTCTCTGCGAAAATTTCCAACACATGGGCTACCAAGTGAGTTGCTACTCCAATATTTTTACCGAAGTCTTGATTCAGTTAACAAAGGGATAGCTGATCAATTGGTCTAAGGGGGTATAATGCTACAACCCTTTGAGGTGGCCTCATTTCTCCTATATGGTATGGCGAGAGTAAATCAAGCTTGGTACACCAAAGAAGATCAAGTCTCCCCTCTGTTTTTCAGGCTGACGTAGGAGCAACTTGATAAACAAAAAGAGAGGTATGAAAACATCAAAAAGATGTTGTCTCAGATGGAAGATTTACAAGAGCACATGAAAGGCAGCTATGAATTGTTTCGCGCAGAGGGGGGTTCTTTTTTCGATAACTTCAAATCGGGAGGGAATCAAGGTCGGAACCACAGAAGGAATGAGGAGGGTTTCCATCCATACTATCAACCGCGGGTTGGAAATCAAGGTTGGAACCACCCTAGAGGTGAAGGACATAGGCGATATTTCTAAGAGTGGACTGAGAATAACGATCAAGAAGAATACCAAACTCAATTGAGTGACAGCCCGACATCAAGGGGGAGTGACTGCAGCCCCAGGGTGAATGATCTACTGACAAAAAATCTTGAGAAAGTTGAAGATTCTGATGATTTGCTAAAGGGAATGAGAGATTATTTTTCTTCACTAAATAGCAAGGTGAACTCTCATGCTAATGCCATGCTGGAAGGTCAATTGAATCTCCTATCGGCTTAACTAACAACCAAGATTCCAAAGGAAAATAAGGAAGAAGAGATGGCTGTAATTACCCATAGCGGGAAGGTAGAGATAGGTAGTGAAGGAGAAGAACGTGAGGAAAATCAGGTTGAGGAAGAAGCAAAAATTACCGATCATCAAAACATCGGCAAGAAAGCACAAGAAGGAATGAATCAACACAATGAAACTCCAAAAATAATACAACCCTTACCCAAAATACCTCCACCTTTTACCCAGCGTTTGAAAGAGAAGAATGAAGATGAGAGGTTTAAAAAATTCTTGTCTGTGTTCACGAAGCTGTCCATCAACCTTCCTTTGGTAGAATCATTGCTGGAGATGCCAGGGTATGCTAAATTCATGAAAGTGTTAGTCACCAAGAAGGGGATCTTGGATTATGAAACTATTGAAGTGCCTCATAGATCCAGTGCGATCATGACAAAAGAGTTAATCACTAAAAGAGAAGACCCTGGTGCTTTCACCATCCCGTGTACTATTGGAATGCTCTAATTTGCCAAGGCTTTATGTGACCTAGGAGAAAGAATCAACCTGATGCCATATGCCATATACAAGCAACTTAGATTGGGAGAACCAAAGGTAACTACCATGGGACTTCTCATGTCAGATCGATCGATCAAGCATCCTGTTGGTATCCTCTACGATATCTTGGTCAAAGTGGATCGGTTCATATATCCAGCTAACTTTGTGATTTTAGACTGTGACATTGATGTTAAGGTCCCCATTATTTTGGGAAGGCCATTCTTAGCAACCGACAGAGCACTAGTGGATGTTGAAAGCGGCAAGTTGAAATTCCGTGTGAATGACGATGAGGTAACTTTCAACATCTACAAATCCATGAAGCAACCAAGTAATATCCATGTAGTGTCTACTGAAGATTTTATAGATGAGGAAGTGGCAAGTGTGAGCCATATGTTGCGCAAGAATGAGCTTCTTGAGTCAATACTTGCAAATCAAGACGATTCGAAAATCCAGGAATATGATGAAATGATCGCAGCCCTAACAGGGTTAGGAGCATATGCACGAAATCCAATTAAGTTGGATATCGATCTAAAAAACCGATGCAGCCCACCTGCAAAGCCATCAATTGAAGAGCCGCCAACTCTAGAACTGACAGTACTCCCATCCCATCTCAAGTATGTTTTCTTAAGAACTAACAACACTCTACCAGTGATTATTGCAACAAATCTGACGGAAGGGCAGGTAAAAGTGCATGTTGAAGTACTGAAGAAGCACATAAAAGTGATTGCATGGACCATACCTGATATCGTGGGCATCCCGCCCAGTACCTGCACCCATAAGATTCGGCTGGACAGTGAATGCAAACCTAGTTTGGAGCATCAGCAAAGGTTGAACCCCCCGATACAAGAGGTAGTAAAAAAGGAGATCATCATGTGGCTTGATGCAAGAGTAATCTATCCAATTTCAGACATCAAATGGGTCAGCCCAGTGCAATGCGTACCAAAAAAGGGTGGCATAATAGTGGTGCCAAATGCTAAAGGAGAGCTTGTGCCGACTAGACCTGTAACATGATGGAGGTTGAGCATGGATTATCGAAAGCTAATTCATGTACTGAAAAGGACCATTTTCCAATGACCTTCATGGACTAGATGCTTGACAGGTTATCTGAGAGAGGGTGGTATTGTTTTTTGGATGGATACTCTGGATACAACCAGATATCTATCACACCAGAAGATCAAGAGAAAACCACTTTCACATGCCCTTATGGGACCATTGCATTCAAAAGGATGCTATTCGGACTTTGTAATGCAACAACAACTTTTCAACAATGCATGTTGTTCATCTTTGCGGATATGGTTGAGAACTCTCTGGAAGTCTTCATGGATGATTTCTCAGTCGTGGAAAACACATTTGAAGAATGCTTGACACATTTAGAGTGAGTGCTCCAAAGGTGTGTGGATATTAATCTAGTCCTAAATTGGGAGAAATGCCATTTCATGGTGAAAGAAGGCATTGTTCTTGGGCATAAAGTGTCGCAACAAGGGCTGGAAGTTGACAAAGGAAAAATTGAGATTATTGAGAAACTACCACCGCCGATCTCAGTAAAGGGGATTCGTAGTTTCTTGGGCCATGGAGGCTTCTACCGGTGATTCATTAAGGATTTTTCAAAGATTACACAACCATTATGCAAACTCTTAGAGAAGGAAGTAAAATTCTACTTTGATGACGCTTGTATGGCAGCATTTAAATGTTTGAAAGAGAAACTGATATCCACACCAGTTATCAGCAGCCCCAATTGGTTAGAACCATTCTAAGTGATGTGTGATGCGAGTGGGATGGCATTAGGTGTAGTATTGGGACAAAAATGTACTAAACTGTTTCACCCAATCTATTACGCAAGCAAGACTCTAAACAGTGCCCAGCGAAATTACACAGTCACTGAACAAGAGTTGCTAGCAGTGGTCTATGCTGTCGAGTTCCAGGCATACTTGTTAGGCATTAAAGTAGTTGTTAATACAGACCATGCAGCACTCCGATACCTCATGGTAAAAAAGGATGCGAAGCCAAGACTGATAAGATGGGTGCTACTCTTGCAAGAATTTAATTTTGAGGTTAAAGATCGAAAAGGTTGTGAGAATCAAGTTGCAGATCACCTATCACGATTAGAGAATAAAGCAGGTACTTAGCAGGAAAAGGATATAAATGACTCATTCCCAGACGATCAGATATTCGCACTGTCACTCACACACGTGCCATGGTATGTTGACTTTGCAAACTACATCTTATGTGGGTTGATTCCCGATGAGTTGAACTCTTACCAACGAAAGAGGTTCCTATTTGATGTTAAAAGTTACTTCAAGGATGAGCCATACTTATTTCGTGAATGTGCTGATCATGTCATATGAATGTGTGTTCCGGAAGAAGAATCAACAGAAATCCTCCCTGCCTGCCACACATGACCTGTAGGGGGTCATCATGCGGCAAACGGGTGTCCGAGAGGAACACATTTGAAACTGGGTAAGTTGCCTGAGAGGGAACTCATTTTCATTAAAGCTTAGCCTAGTTACTATTCTTTTGCAAATTTCCTATCGAAAGCATGTACCCAACAATTTATCTCAACTTTTATTGCGCTCACATCCCAAGAACCTTTCCCCATACTTGATTTTCATGTTTATTTTGCTGCTTCATCACTTGTTACAAAACCCCCATTTGATATTTGACACTTTCGTGTCACCCCCTTTTATTTACTATGTTTTTGTTTGTTAATATCTTTAGCTACGACTAGTTAGAATGTAAATTCTATTTTTCTATAAATTATCAAAACCGCTCCCTTGGGACACGACCCTAACCCTCGGTTGGGTTACTATAATATTGACATTCGTAGACACTCATATCGTAGGATTATGTCGTTGGTCACGATGAGCATCGGTATTCTTAAGCATTACTAATTCAACTCAGTAAATTCAATGAACCTTGACATAAATTAATAGGAAAATACAAAAAGATAATAAAAATAAAGCTAAGATATGCTATCACAGATCTAAGTTTAAATTGATTAAAACAGTCCCCAAATTAGAAAGAATAGATTAATTAAAAGTGAGCATAAGAAAAGTACCTTTTTTGTCACGGAACTTAACATCAAAACATCTAAAAGTCATAAGTTAAAAAGGACTTAGAATCAAAAACATCAAGTTGTTTTGCAGCCGTCTTTTGGTTTCTTTTCTCTAGTGTTTCGTAGATGAGGGAAAGCTGGATAAGGGTGGCTTTGTGGTTTCACCGTAATACTTGAAAGACTAGGTAGGGAGAAAAAGGCAGCCCCGGTGGACTATTCTCCGGTTGCGGATACCGACACATTACCTGCAGAGGCACCATTGCCAACTTCGGCCCCTAGGCTTCAGGTACTTCTAGTGTTGTCCCTTTTGATACTCCCAGTTCCTCTGCTGCTCCATTGCCCCCCAGATCTGGTACTGTTGTTGCTGCTGCGTCCCGAGCCCCATTCACCTAGGCTGCATTACTACAGATGGGGCAGCTATCCCATTCTGCTTATCGTCGGGCCGCCAGACTCGAGGCCTCCATTCTGTGCATGATTCAGATAGCCCTCACTGTGCTGTGACACCCTTGAGTACTACGATTGATCCCCTTGCAGCTAGGATAGCAATTTACGAGTATGGCCAAGGGTCCACCGAGAAGGTGCTAGCTCTAAAGGCCGCTATTGATACACTGAGGAGAGATGTGGACTAGCTAAAGTCCATCGTCATGTCCATTATTTTCAGGATGGTGGAGATCCTTGATGTGCCAGTTGAGCCAGATATTCCTCTCGCTACCGCCAGAGATGATGTTCGAGTTGAGGAGGCAGCTGATCCCGAGTCTGAGGTGGAGAAATATGAGGAGATGGTTGGGGTTACTGAGGAGGTTTCATATGAGGGCCTTACAGAGATTGAGGAGGCCATGATTGATGCAGCTGTGCAGATTTCTATGGTAGATAAACCCTTGGCTGACCCTAGTCGACCCACTACTTCTATTGATGTGACTCTGGGTACTGATGCACAAGTTTAGAGTGATTCACCGAGCATTAATGCCCCGATAGATTGAGTTCCCCGATAGAATGGGTTTTTGATCTATATATTATGTTTTGACACTGCTTTTGTGGTTGTTTGAGCTTGTGGCTCCTTATTTTAATTGTAACTGATTTTTGACCTATATGAAAAAATTTGTGCATCTCTTGACTGTGTTTGAATATGGTTGTTCTCTTGTAAATCTGAGTATCGATCTTGATTAATACCGATGACCTTGAATAGTGCTCATAATCGAACAAAAATTAAAGTGTGGCTATGATGAGGCCAAATGAAGGTGCATATGCAATATGTGAACTTTTTGCATCTCATTCTGACTAGCCGGTTATCAAATTGAGTCTATTGTGATGATCATTGGACACTCAATAAAGTGTGGAGTCTTGTTTGATATTTTGTTCCAATGCCTTCTATGATTAGCTTACCCTGAACCATGTGTGATGACACCTAGAATTTGCCCCGTTGGTCCGGTTGACTAAGTGATGGGATCTCTTGAAATGATCTTAGGCAACTTTGAAGAGTGTGAAACAATTTGACATTATACCTCTTTTGTGGCCAACCTTGTGAGTGTGTGATCCTTGCTAGAACACCCTTTAAGCCTTATCCTTTTCTTGGAAGATACTTGATGTAAATGGTGACCTTTCTTTAGCCATTACCCATAATCCTCATGATTTGTGGTTTGTTTGAATAGCCTACTTAGGCCAAAAGCCTAAGTTGGGGGTGTGGTGAAAAGAAAAGGTCAATCAAGAAATGCAATGAAGTCCTCTTGATCCATGTTTTTGAAAAAGATGGAACCGCACCATACAAAAAAGAGATAAAGAAAAAAAGTAAAGAAAAAAATGTAAAAGAATGAAAAATTGTGAAATAAAGTATAGAAGAAAATGGGGTGTCCGGTATTTCAAGGAAAGTGAATAATGGGGTGACTTTTGAGCATGAATGAGAATGAAGAAGAAAAGGGAAGAAAGTGTTGTTCATACCACATTTTATGAGGATAGCAACCACTTAGCCTAAATGACCATACCTTTACACTCAGCCCCGTTACAAGAATTGAAAAGACTTTTTGAACTTCAGTGAGCTGAAACAAGTGTTGATTGGAAAATAAGGGCAAACCTATGGGTGGAATCATGCATGTGTTCATCTTTGTGAGTGTGAGTGTTGATCGTGATTGCAGAGCTATAAATTGTTGAACCATTGAGTGTGAATATGGAATCATTCTTTGTATAAGGGCATTTGAGTACCTTGGTTAAGTTTGAACATGCATTTGAAGCAAGTATTGTGAACTTGAGAATCTTTGATAATGGTGAGTCATAACTTGAATCTTTGAGTACACAAATTGATCCTTTCATGTGTAGGTTGAGTCTTTTTGTGTGCATTCATGATTGAGTCTTGTGTAGCACTATTTCAGACATCCTTTTTGAACTGCTGAACTTGAGTTTTACTTGAGGACAAGCAAAAGTTTAAGTTGGGGGTGTTGATGAGTCCACGTTTTTTACTAATTTAGGGCTTTATTTGGATAGATTTAGTGTCCTCAAATGCTTATTTTGTGCCAATAACTTATGTAAAATCCTTGAGTTTCAGGTATTTGAAGTTAGGAACAAAGCATGGACACTAATGGGCAAAAAGGAACAAGTCACCTGAAAGAACGAAGAAAAGAAGGCACGTTGATCGCCTAATCCATTGGGTGAGTCACCCAGTGGCAATTACCTTGCCTAAAGTTTCATTGTGCTAAGCCCTGAAGGAGAAAATCAAGTCGACGAGACAAAGGAGCAGTCGGCATGTCGCCCAACAGTTCCGCGATGCAATTATTGGATCGCCCAAAGTTATAGAACTTGAAGATGCTGAAGGCCAAAGAAAAATGGCGATGTAACTGACCAAAGGTTGGATCGCTGAGTTGATCGGTCCTTCGAAGCATATTTTTGGAGACTATAAATACATTTTCAAACATTATGTTTACTAACAACGTTTTATCATAATATTAGTTTCAATTTTTAGAATTTTCAGTTTTGAGACAATATTTTCCTTAGCTTTGAAGAATTGAAGTTTTCCATTTTGGAGAAATTGGAAGTGGGTCTTTGAGTTTCTTCAACTTGGACCTTTGTAAAGACAAAATTAATCTTACCTAGTTGATGAAAACACAATTTGGCAACAATTTCTATGTTTTATGATGTCTAGCTAAAACCCCAATTCTTGGGGTGTGATTATGTGATTATCGGTTTATTTAACTTGTGGGTATTGCTAATTGTTAGTTTAAATTCTGTTTAAAAGTGATTTCAATCAGTAATTGTGGTTCAATTTAAAGGGTTGTAGTTGCAAATGCAACTCTACCTTCATGTTTTTGGCATGCTCGAGAGTGAGGTTTGAAAACCAAG